CAGTTATTAGATTTTAAAAGGATCAAAAGGAAACAAAAAAAAAAAAAAAATTTTATTTTTTATGGCGATTTAAATTTTGTTTTTTTTTTTCAGGGGAGGAGGGGGGTATGGGGGCGTGAGGAGGGAGAAGAGGTACAAGGGGGATGAGGGGGAGGATTATAAATATTTAAATTTTAAATCTTGATTAAAATGCGCACACGTTTCGCTTTTTAAATTAAACCCCACCTAACGAAAAATGTTTTCCCCAATAAAGTTTTTTCGAAAACGAAACAAATCACAATTTTTTTTAATTTTCCTATTAATTATTATTTTATTTTATTTATTTCCGTTTCCGGTTTGATTCGTGCCCGGATATTTCCGTTATTACCACACACGTTTTAATTTTAAAATAAAAAATTTGAATCGAATCGACCGAAAAAGTTTTTTTTTTTCTTTTAAAATTTCCAACCGGAAATGACGTAAGAAAAAAAAACGGATATAGGGGAAAATTTTTTAAAAAATAAACAATTTTTATTATTATTATTATTATGACGAAAGAGAAAGAAAGAGAAATCGAAAATGGGACGTTTGATGAGAGGGTTTTAAATGAGGAAGTTTTAGTTTGATGTTGTACGATGGGGGCGGGGGGTTAAAGGGTTTGAATGATAGGTTTATCGGGTTGAAAAGATATTTTAACGTCAAAAAAATGGAAAGAGAGAGATAGATAGATAAAGAAAATTTTTTGATAGAGTTTCGATGAAATGGAAAGAGGAAAAAACACGTTTTGGAAAAAACAATTTAAATCAACCTTCTTCTTCTTCTTCTTCTTCTATTTTTAATTAAACCTTTTCGCGAACTTATTTCATCATCATCATCATTCCTATAAATTTTAATTCTTTTAAAAAATTCATTCATTCATTCATTCATTCATTCAATCATTCTTTCATTCCGTTTTAAAATTTAAAAAAAAAAAAAAAACTACCAAATAATTTACTATGTTTTCTTCAATTTCTACCCCTTCCCCCCCCGATCTTTTCTCTTTATTTTCTTGCATTCTCATCCCCCCCCACACACGCACGCACGCTCCCCCCACCACTCCCCACACGCAACATTTTCTTCTTCCCGTTTTTAGAATTTTTACCTTTTTTATGTTTGTAATTAAACTTCGTCGTATTCGAAATTGTTTTTTTTTTTTTTCTTGTACTTCCGGATTTTAATTAATTTTTCCAAGGGAGAAAATTTTTAACAATAAAAAAAATTGAAACGTGGGATTCTCGTCGTCATCGTGGTAATCGGGAAAAAGGAAGAAAAGGGATGATGACAGGAACAGGAGAGAGTGCATATGAATTAAAAAAAAAAAAATTTTTTTTAATAAAGGGAAGAAAGGAAGGAAGAAAAAGGAAATTTGTTACATTCAATGAGAGATCCCCATCATAATCATCATCATCGTAGTCCGCCATTTTGAAATTTTTCAATCAAATGTAAAAAAAAAGTAGTAGTTGTAGTAGGTTGTTATTTTTGTTGAAATGTAATACGAAACCCTTCCGGTCAAAAAGATTTTCCGCGGTTTTAAGTATTTCCGGTTTTTGTTAATCCCGTAACGAACCCTGCGGACTTGATAATTTTTACTCCATATTGTAATTGGTTTTTGTTTGTTTTTTTCGTGTGTGTTTACTTTCTCGTATTATTATCATTATCATTTTGTGTTTGTATTTATCATTTGTTGCACACGCCCAAAATCCGCCATTTTTTTTTTTTGTTTCGGGTGTGGTGGGAAATGATAAAAAAAAAAGATTCATTATTTTTTATAATTATTACAACAACAACAACAACGCCGATAATTTTTTGTTTTTTACGATTTAAACAAACAAACAAACAAGACAAACACTGATCGGACTTTAAAAAAATGAAGTAAAAACTGGTTAATTAAATCTTTTCATACAAAAACCTTATTTTCCTTAAGGACAAAAGAAAAAACCTTTTGTTGAAAACCTTTTCTTTTGCGGTATTCCTCCCTCCTACCCGTCCTAGGGGGTGGGGAAGCGGGAAGCGGAAAAAGGTTAACCTTTTGATTTGTCTTTTATTTTTTTCTTCGGATTCCGTTACAATCATTTTCCTTTTTTCTTTTCCATTCCTTTTTATTATTTTCCCCTTCTGAGATTTTTTTTTCTTTTCCGAATATTAAATTTCAATGGATAAGAAAAAACCGTCGGACGTTTTTTTTTTTCCTTTGATAATTTTTCCCAAAGGAAAAAAAAAAAAACGTTAAATTAAATTTTTTTTTTAGAAAAAAAAAAAATTTATCGTAAATGTTTTTTTTTTTTTTCTAACAGGTTCGACAGGTACGAAAATAAATAAATAAATAATTTTAATAAATTATTTAAGAGGGAATAACAAAATGGCGGAAAGCAGCAAAAGCAACAGCGTAAAAAAATAATAAAAAACGTAAAAAATCAACGACAGCCGAATAAAAAAAAAGGAAAAAGAAAAACACCGAATATAATAATGATAATAAAATTTGTTTTTGTTGTTTTTCACTTGTTGTTATTTTTGCTGTTGTTATTTCCTTCTGCTGTTGTTTTGCTGTTGCGTCATTTGCTCAAATTCAATTTTTTTAGTTTTTTTTTTTTTTTTCGAAATCAGAAGTAAAAATATACTTAAAAAAAAAAAACAAAATTTTCCCCAGTTGAATTTTTTTCCTTTTGTTCGTTCGTTTGTTTTGTTAAAAATTGACCTTTGACCCTGATTTAAAAAGTTCGAATTGAGTTTTTATAAAAATTTTTTATTAAAAAAAAATAAAATTTTTGAAAGTGTTTTTTTTCCTTTTTCTTCCCTTTTTTCTTGTTTTTTATAAATTTTTAAACGTTAAAAAATTAAAATTGAGAGGGAGAAGAGATAGGAGTGGAGGGGAGGAAGAGAGGGGAAGAGAGGAAGGGGAAGGTGATGAAAAAAAAAAAAAAATTGGAAACCTTTTGGGAAATGAAATTGGGTTCCCTACGTTCGTTTTTTCGTTCGTACGTTCGTTCGTTGAAGGCTCCTCCTGAATTTTCCTTTGACGTTAAATAAAATTACTTTTTCCTTTTTTTTTTTCCTTTTTTTCCTTTTTTTTAATACATACTTCGAGGTGTAAATTTTTTCTTTACTTTCTTTTTTCTATTTTTTTTTTTTTTTGCTGCAATTTTTTGATACCGTTCAATTTTTCTTTTCTCGTTTCCTCCCCCCTCGCCCGCTTTTTTTCACTTCCTTTCCCTTAAAAATAAAAGGTTTTTCTTCAATATCGATAATAATAATAATAATAAGCAATAATAAAAGTAAAATTACACAATTATTAACATTATAAATTTTCTTTCTTTCCTTTTTTTATTTTTCTTTTTTTAGTTATTTTTTAATAATAATTTGGGGAATTAGTATTTAAACAAAGGAAAAAAAAGAAAAAAAAACAAAATTCCTTTGAGATACTTTACCTACCATTTACCTTTATTATTATTATTATCATCATCATCATTATTTTACGCTTTTAACCGGAAATAAGTTTATTTAAAAAAGAAAACAAATTTCGTTTCCGAACGGAAAATTTCCGATTTTTTTTTCTTTACAAACGTATTCAGTAGCAGAAGTTAAGTTTTAATAATAATGATGATGATAATGATGATGACGATGATGACGATGACGATGACGATGACGATGATGATGATTTTACAATTTTTATTTTTTTTCCGTTAAAATTTTTTTTTCCCCTTCGTCGTCGTTTCGGTCGTCGATTCCCGAATCGAATAATTTTCTTTTTCTTTCTTTTTTTTTTGAAAGAACTTTCTAGAAATTCCTTCTGTCGGGAGTGCGTGAGACAGGATGGAAAATTATTATTATTATTTTCCGTTTTGTATTGTTAAGTTAAAGTCAGGCAGGCTGGTTGGTTTATTGTTCTAGAAAGAAAACCTCGAAATTATTTAACCCTCGTAATTTTTTTTTTTTGTTGAGAGAATGTTTCGGGGGGCTGGGTGGATGACGTCGTCGTTCTAGGGGGTTTACACCCTCCCTCCACACTCTAGGGAATCCACCCTTTTCTTTTTTTTTCCGAACAACAATGATATCTTATCAATAGAATCCGTCAAATGTTTTTCATTCTTTCCCCTTTTCCGTCTTTTTTTTTCTCTTCTAAGACGATCAAATTCACCTTTTATTCAAAGGAAAAAAAATTCTCGCACGCGTGTATTATTTAATCATTATTATTATCATCATTCTACGTCATAATCTTCTGCTTTTAATAAAAAAACAACCATCACGATCAGATTTACAACAACAAAACAGGGGGTAACGAAAAAAAAAAAAAATTAAATTTTTCGATTAAAACAAATTATTAAAATATTATTTCTTTCATTCATTCATTCATTCATTCATTAATTGAATTAAATTTTAGTTGTATTAATTAATTAAATAATAAAGAAACCAAACAATAAGTAGATAGATAGATAGATAGGTAGATAGATTTTGTCTTGAATCTTTATCATAACTGTCATCAACACGAGACATTTTAATACGTTCAATAGAAAATTTTAAAGAAAAGAGTGAGAGAGAGATAGAGAAAAAGAAAGAGAGAGAGAGAGAGTGTTTGTGTGTGTGTGTGTGTGTGGCGAGTGAGAAGAGGTCGGAGGTCATAGAGAAAAGATAATAAAAGAAAAACAAGTGAATTATTTATATAAGGCAAAAGAAAAAAAAAGTAAGGAAAACGTTAAGAAGAGAAAATAAATAATAAATTTATTTTCAACACAACAAGAAGAAAATTTTTCCAACAGCAATAAAATTTACGACAGCAAAATTTTCCCTATTCGAAATTAAAAACAATTTTTTTAAATATAATTAATTGCTACGAAAAAAATAAACCGGAAGTTAATTAATTAATATTATTTATTTATAATAAGGTTAAGAAGAAAAAAAAAATTTATGACGTTTTTTATTTTTCCAGATTAAATCCAGGACTGATAGGAAATCCACAGTTAGGAGTCACTCCAGCAACTCCTCTTATGTCTGTTTTCCCCCTAAGAGCTCCTCCTGCCAATTATTCACCATATTCTCCATCACGGTACGTATAACAAAAAAAAAAAAAAACAAATCACGTAGAGTTAAGAAAAGATTGATTAGACTCCCGTACGTTACGTTTTTCCCCCATATCTCCCCTATTTCCTCTCGCCCCCTCCGCCTCCCCCCCCCCAAAAAAAAAGATTGATTGTTCTCTCTTTAAACAAGAAGAACGAACAAAAACAATTTTTTTTTTTCGGGGGGGCGGGGATTTCGGAAAAAATATGCATAATGGTACGACTATGTCGTCGTTGTTGTTGTCGTCGTTACTTCCGTTTCCGTTTAAAAGAATTTTCTTTTTTCTCCCCCCCGCCATTTAGATTTCACATCGATAAAAGATGTCAACATAGATGTACCTGGAAGTGCTTTTCAATTGCACTTATCTTACTTAGTCTTATATTGACGGCTCTGTTAGCTTATTTCGGAGCTGTCAGCACCGTAAACAAAACCGGATCTGATTCCACGACGTGTATATTAGTTGAAGATGCCAAAGCCGTATCATCACAAGAAGGTGTTGATCACGTGATATCTAGTCAATCACCAACGGAAGGCAAGTTTTTTTATTTGTCGCAAAGCGCGCGCGAGTTCGAAGAACCCGACATTTTTTTTTTGTCGTTTAATTGAATTTCAACCGCCATTTTGTTTTTTTTTTTTTTTTTTTGTAGAATCCTTATTAACGTCAACTCATCAAAACGTTTTTAATTCATTTTCAAATACTCAAACACCACAATCGGTAAATGACAACAACAACAACATATTATTAAATCAGCAACAGCTTCAAAGTCACCAACAGCAACAACAACAACTTCATCATCCCGGTTTTAATAATTATTGGCCCACAGTATCGGAAATATCGGATTTTGACGTGTCTTACCACTCGAAAATCAACCCCCTTCAATTTTGGAATCTTCAATTCAAAAACAAACATCCGGCATTCATACGTTTAAATTTTACTCTACCCTGGGGCTCTAATTTTGCCGTTTACGGAAGGAGAAACGTCGCCCCGAGCGTGACGCAATATGATTTTGTTGAATTTGTTAAAGGCGGAAGAATTGATCGTCTTAAAAGAAACGCCGGAAATGATTATGTTGGTAATAACATTTGGAAAAGGGATACCAATTCCGTTTTGTTCATACACGGCGGTGGTGACGGTGACGGTGACGGTGTTAATAATAATAATAACTCGACGAAATCTAAAAAACCGGAAATATTAAAACATCGCGACGAAAAAAGAAGCATAAATGAAAAAAATTTTACCAAAAGAAGTTACATCGGAGATAGTAATACTAATAATAATAATAATAATAATACAATCATGGTCAACGTGACACTTTTGCAATATTTCGATACCGGAATTTGGTTTGTCAGCGTTTATAACGATGACGTTTGGCCACACGAGGTTAATATAAAACAAACAGACAATTTCCGGTTGTTTGTTTATAATGTTGATTATTATTATTATTTTTTCTTAATTAGGTTAATCTCGTTATATCGGAAGCTGAAGGTGTGTCTACTGCTTGTCCAAACGATTGTAGTTCACACGGATCTTGTTATCTTGGAAAATGCGATTGTATAGACGGTTACGAAGGAATAGATTGTTCAAAAAGTAAATTTCTTTTTTTAAAAAAAATCCCGCCATTTTTTTTTTTGTGTAAAACAAACGATTTCGTTTTAGGCGTTTGTCCCGTACTTTGTTCGAATCATGGTAAATACGGTGGTGGAATTTGTCATTGCGAAGAAGGTTGGAAAGGACCGGAATGTGACATACCCAAACACGATTGTCAATCACCCGATTGTTCCGGTCACGGTAAATGCGTTAAGGGATCTTGCGAATGCGTTGTCGGTTGGAAGGGGATCCTGTGTAACGAAGGTAACATCATCACCATCGTGTTTTGTTGGTAAAATCCCCGGGATTAATATAAAATTTTGTGTGTTAAATTTTAGTGGATTGCATCGATCCGAATTGTAGCGATCATGGAACTTGCGTGAACGGAAAATGTTATTGTAAAGCCGGATGGCAAGGGGTTAATTGTTCCGCCCTCGACAAACAAGTTTATCAGTGTTTACCATCTTGTTCAGAACATGGAACTTATGATTTAGAAACCGGATCTTGTAAATGTCAACCTTTTTGGACGGGATCCGATTGTTCGAAAGGTAAGTTAAATATTTATTTAAATCTACCGTAACGTTAAATTTAAACATTTGTTTGTCGTTGTTGTTGTTCAGCTCTTTGTTCTTTGGATTGTGGACCACACGGTAGATGCGGACAGGGTAAATGCGAATGTACGGATGGTTGGATGGGTGATAGATGCGATCTTCTTCCTTGCGACAATCGATGTCAAGAACACGGTCAATGTAAAAATGGTACATGCGTTTGTTCTCAGGGATGGAATGGAAAACATTGCACGATACGTACGTATATATCAACAAACAAACAAAAAACCCGTTTGTTTGTTATTAAAAATAACGAATTTTTTTTATTTTTCTCTCCAGCCGGATGTAAGAATGCTTGTTCCAGACATGGTATGTGTTCTCTAGAAGATGGCGAATATCATTGCATATGTTCAAACGAATGGGCAGGGGATGATTGTTCGATACCATTAGAACAACAATGCAACGATGAAATCGATAACGATCAAGGTAATATCATTTCCGTTTTGTACTCTCTCCCCGACAAACAGAACAAACGGGTACTAATGAAAAACCGTTAATTTTATTTGTCATCAGATGGTATGATCGATTGTTCGGATTCAGAATGTTGTTCTCATCCTAGTTGTTCAGATCACATAATGTGTTTGTCATCAAATGATCCCGTCGAAGTCCTCCTACGTAAACAACCCCCCTCGGTCACTTCATCATTTTATCAAAGAGTTAAATTTTTAATTGAAGAAAATTCGGTACAAAGTTATGCACACATGGACGAATATTCCGAAAGGTAAGTTTTATCATTATTATTATTATTTCTTTTGCGTTCACGTTTGTTTTGATTTATTTACTTTATGATTTGTATAAAAGCTGAGAAAATGTTTATCGAATTTATGATTAGAATGTACATAAAGAAAATATTACGTCGAGTTTTTTTCTTTCAGCCAAAAAAAAAAAAAAAATGACGAGCCATTATTGTTATTATTATTATTTTTTCGATCGGTTTTATTGGTTTCGGTGACGTTAATATGCAGGGAGGGGGGAGGGAAAGGGGAAGGAGTACGGGAAAAGAGGAGAAAAAAAAATGAAACGCAGAATCTTACGTTTGTTTGTTTCTCACTCTCTCTCTCTTCTCGTAGAGTAAGAGAAACGATCGTAAAAATTATAAAAAAAAAAAAAAAATGGCGGAAAAAAACATCGTGGTAGAAGAAAAGAAAAAAAAAGGTGTTGCGGATAATTTGATAATCGATAAAAAATTTGTCGCCATTTAAAATTTTTTTTTTGCAAAACTTTCGGTTTTTTTTTTTTTAAAAAGAAAATGGCGGCGGGAAGGGGGGTAAAGGGAATGGGATAAAAGATAGAAAGAGAGAGGGAGGAGAGGAAGAGAAGGGGGAAGAGAGAAAAATGAAAAAGCAAAAGCTGTTTAAATAAGATAAAACCCTTTCGGAGACGTGTAGAAAAAAATTTTTTACATTAACAAAAAAAAATAATGATAATAATAATAAAAAACGTTTTGTTTTTTTTCGATGTTAATTAATTTTTTTTTTTTTTTTTTTCGGAAAAGAATGAAAAGGAAGGGGGAAAAAGGGAGGAGTGTAGGGGGAGGGGAGACAACACGGGGAAAAAAACGGGGATAAAAAAAAATAAAAATGGAACAAAACGCTGTCGTTCGTGATGTAAAAAATTCTCGCACACGTTTACCTTATAATGAAATATATATTATCATTATTATTATCGCGTAAGTTCATACCTCCCTCCCCCTCCACTCGGGGATATTTTTTTTTTAAATATAAATTAAAACAAAATGGCTCCTCGTTTTTTTAAATAAATAACTTTATTTTATTTTTTAAAAAAATAAATTCTTTGATAAAATTCATTTAGTAATAATAATTGTGATGTGTTATGATGACGTCATCAGCATCATCAACGTCACAATTATTATTATTATTACAACTACTACTACTGCTACTGCTATTAAACCACCACCAATTTTATTATTATTATCATTATTAATATTATTACTATTATTATTTTCTTATTGTTTTTTATTATTATTATTATTATTAGTGATTCATCATTTTTTTTTAACGGATACATTTTAATGCTAAAACAATTTCAAAGCTTTTTATTAATATTATTATTATTATTATTATTATTATTATTATTATTATCATTTTTTTTATTTTTTTTTTTTTGTTTTCGGTTTTTTTTTTTTTTTGGATTTTTTTTTTTTACGTTGAAGTTTTTAATTTATCATTATTATTATTATTATTAATATTATTAATTATTATTATCGTTTATTTATTTATTTATTTATTATTATTATTAGTTTAAACATGAATAGTAACAAAATGCTTCTTTTTTTTTTAAAAAAAAGAAAATTTAAAAAAAAAATCCTTACCTTTGTTTTTCATCCCGTTTTTTGTCTTTGTCTAGTGTTTAACTCTATCCACATATTTATTTAAATATATATATATATACATAAAAATTTATGTATTTATGTACGTGCACGTGCGCGTACACGTACACGTACACACTCACACAAACACACACACACACACACATATACACCTTTTACATTTTATTATTATTAATTAATTTATTATTTATTTTATTTTCATTTTATTTTATTTTTAATCATTTTTAATTATTATTATTATTATTATTATTATTATTATTATCACGATCATTATTATTATTATTATTATTAAATTTTATTTATTTATTTATTGATTATACGAGACGTTTATATTGAATCCTAATATAAATAACGGATCGATTGATGACGTAACTCGTGTGTGACACTTACTCTCTGTGGTTTTTTCTCATTCGTTGATTTAAATTTTTAAAAAAAAGGCGGGAAAATTTAAAATTTAAAAAATAAAAAAAAATGGCGAAACTTAGCGTTTGAAATATCAAAACCGTAAAAAAAATTAATCGTAAAAAGTTTTTTTTTTATTTCTCTCTTTCTTTCTCTCTCTCTCTCTCTTTCTTTTTTTTTCTTCTGCTGTTTTTTTTCTTCGTCTGCTTTCTATTTCGGTATGCATAAAACAAAAAGAAAAAAAATTTTTAAATTGTTATTAAAAAAAGAAAAAGAAAAAAAGGAAAAAAGAAAAACATAACCATTTATTATTATTATTATTATTATTCTTAACTGAAACTTTTTTTTTTTTTTATTCAAAGTTGGCAACAAAAAAGAAAAAGTATAATAATAATAATAATTTTTTTTTTTTGAACGTGAAAAATTATCTTCCAAGTTAAATTTTTACGAAAAAAAAGAAAAAAAAAAAAAAGTTTTAAGGATGAGAATAATGATGATAATGATAATGATAATAATGACGATGAGATATTTAAATAATTAGTTATTAATAAATAATAAAAAAAAGAAAGAAAGAGAGAGAGAAAGAAGGAAGGAAAGAAGGAAGAGAGGAAAAGTTTTTAAAAGATTTCAGAAGGACCGTGTTAAGGTTTCTCCCTTTCCCTTCCCCCCACCCCCGTTACAATAAAACTCGCATTCGTTTATTATTATTATTATCATCATTTAAATTTAATATTATAATTTTTTATTTATTATTGATTTATTATCATTATTATATAGAGAAATATTTGAAAATTGTCTCAGGTGTGAGAAAAATCGAGGATATTAAAATTCATACGAGCGCTTCAATTTAACCATTTTCTATCTCTCTCTCTCTCTCTCTCACTCTTCATCCCCGACACGGTCCCCCCTCTCTCTCTCTCTCTCTCTTTTTGACATTTTAAAAGGAGTCAAAACTATTTTAAAAGTAGTCAGGTCACGTATTTAAAGTACCGATGGTAGTAGTATGGCGTCGTTTATTTTTTTTTTCAAGATAACAATTCACATTTCTCATTCTTCAACTTCAAAAATTTGTTCTGTCAAACGTTTTGTCTATTTACACGACACGAAAATTTCAAAAAAAAAAAAAAAAAAAAAAAAAAAAACTTAATGACGTTTTTTTTTTTTACTATTTTTAAACTCTCTAAACGATAATGATGACAGAAATTCGATCCGTTATTTAATTTTTTTATCTTATTTTTTATCTTTTTTAATTATTATTATTATTATTATTATTATTTATTTATTTATTTATATCATACATGAAACAAATTTTATATATATAAATAATTAGAATAATAAGTTATAATTTTATTTATTATTATTATTAAAACTCGTCGTTTAAATAAGTAAGTCGGCATCAATTGACGTCATTCATTATTATTATTATTATTATCAAAAAAAAAAATTTAATTTGATTTTATATTAACGTTAATTGATTTCGATTTATTTATAATTATATAATTACGATTGAGTGACGTCACGTGAGTGTGCGTGTGTCACGTGAAATAATTTTAAAAACGTTAAAAAAAACGATCATCGATTTAAATTTAATTAATAATAATAATCGATAATCGTAATTATGTGTTGTATGGATATATACAAACGTGAGTGACGTTTACATTTACTCTGTGTATGCGTGCGTTTCTTTAAATTTTTTATCTGTTGATAGTTGGAACACATCTAAAGTGCGTTTCTTTTAATTTTTTTTTGACAGTTTGAATTAACATAAAATGCGTTTCTTTAAATTTTTTTTTAGAGATACAAATTCACTCGGAGTGCGTTTCTTTAATTTTTTTATCTGTTGACAATTAGAATTAACTGAAAGTGCGTTTCTTTAAATTTTTTTCTTTTAGCGTTACCAATGCATTCCGAGTGCGTTTCTTTAATTTTTCTTTTCTATTGACAATTAAAATTTACACAGAGTGCGTTTCTTTAACTTTTTTTTTTGACAGTTAGAATTCACTAAAAGGGCGTTTCTTTAAATTTTTTATCTGTTAACAATTAGAACTCACCTAAAGTGCGTTTTTTAATTTTTTTTTTTTTTCCTTATTTATTGACAATTAGAACTCACTGAAAGTGCGTTTCTTTAAATTTTTTCTTTTAGCGTTACCAATGCATTCCGAGTGCGTTTCTTTAATTTTTCTTATCTATCAACAATTAGAATTCACTCCGAGTGCGTTTCTATAAATTTTTTTTTAGCGATACAAATTCACTAAAAGTGGGTTTCTTTTAATTTTTTTCTGTTGACAATTAAAACTCACTGAAAGTGCGTTTCATTAAATTTTTTTTTTTTTTTGACAGAATTCACTTCGGGTGCGTTTCTTTAAATTTTTTTCTAGCAGTAAAACTTCACTCGGAGTGCGTTTCTTTAATTTTTCTTATCTACCGACAATTAAAACTCACTGAAAGTGCGTTTCTTTAATTTTTTTTCTTTACCGACAATTAAAACTCACTGAAAGTGCGTTTCTTTAAATTTTTTTTTTTACAACAACTCACCGAAAGTGCGTTTCTTTAAATTGTTTATTTGACAGTTAGAATTCACTATAGCTGCGTTTCTTTAAATTTTTTTTAGCGGTACAAATGCATTCCGAGTGCGTTTCTTTAAATTTTTTTTTGACAATTAGAATTCAATCAAAGTGCGTTTCTTTAAATTTTTTTCTAGCAGTACAAATGCATTCCCAGTGCGTTTCTTTAATTTTTCTTTCCTTATTTATTGACAATTAGAATACACCTAAAGTGCGTTTCTTTAAATTGTTTTTTTGACAGTTAGAATTTACTCCGAGTGCGTTTCTTTAAATTTTTTTTCTAGCAGTACAAATGCATTCCCAGTGCGTTTCTTTAATTTTTCTTTTCTTATTTATTGACAATTAGAATACACCTAAAGTGTGTTTCTTTAAATTGTTTTTTTGACAGTTAGAATTTACTCCGAG